CCCTGGAACTGTCGGTCCCATTGTTTTCTCCTCCAGATTGTTCATCCAGCCTATCTTACTTAGACAAACCTGTGGAGATAATAACATGCACAAAAACAAAACAGCAAAACCAAGCAACAAAACAATAACACCACCACCTACAGCCAATGACAAAAAAACAAAACAAAACAAAACAAGAAAGAAAAGCTTATAGTTAGTTCAAGGACCGTTTGTTGGCCTTTAGGAGTATTTTCTGATTGAGTCTGATGGGGCGTCAAGCCCTGGCCCCAAAGTCTAGATTTGGTATTCCCTGGGGACTTCATTACTCTGTTCCCATTGCTGTTCTGTTCGATGCTCTTAGTGTTTTGCCTTGGTGTGGTGGGATCAGATCGGGCACAATTGCCACACTGTTTCTCCAGTGTCGTCCCCTAGGGCTATGGGTCAGTGAGGGATGTCGTGTCTCATAGTGGGGCCAGCCATATGGTCTTCTCTGTGGATTGGATGCTCTGTGCAGGGATATCATCCTCAAGGCTTGGTGGGCCAGATTGTGCTCCACTCTCTCATCCTCTGCCATCATTTGTTCCCGTGTGCTCTGATCAGACATGTCCCTCTCCCGGACCTGCAGCTTCAGTGCTGTCCTCTGAAATAAATTCTTCTGGGGAGAGGGGCAGGTGTCCACGTAGTTGGGATTGGGGCAGGCCCCTCAGACCTCTCCACTGGTTCCCTACTCCATGCTGGCATGTTGCATTCACATCTTGGAGCAATGGGTTGAAGTCTGGTCCCTTTTTCCCTGTGGAGATATAAACAATACCCTCCCCTTGGGTGGGTTAGTGCCCTGTTCCACCCACTACCCATTTCTTTTTTTTCCCTTCCCACCCCCTCCTTTTAGTTGGCTACCATATGTATCCCTGGATTTGGTCTGGCCTCTGCCATACTACCTGGTCTTCACCCCAAAAAGTTTGCATACAGCAGCTTTTTCCCTATGCTCCTTTTGCATTTTTTTTAAAGCTTACCTCAGCGGACTCATGTTGTACTTGTCCTTTTGTGCTTGGCTTACTTCGCTTAGCATGACTTCCTCCAGTTCTTCCCATGCAGCGATGTGCTTCATACATTCAGAACTGCTTTTTAGCGATGCGTAGTACTCCATTGTATGTATGTACCACAGTTTTTTAATCCACTCATCAGTTGATGGAAATTTGGGTTGTTTTCAACTCCTTGCAATTGTGAATTGTACTCCAATGAACATTGGAGCACAAATGTCTAGCCATGGTTTGTTTCTTGCCTCTTCTGGGTATATGCCCAGAAGGGGGATTTCTGGGTCATATGGTAACTCAATTTCCATCTGTTTTAGATATCACCAGATTGATTTCCATACTGGCTGTACATACTTACAAGTCCACCAGCAGTGGTTGAGAGTTCCTGTCTCCCCACATTCCCTCCAACACTTGTT